TTTACAAAAATTTTGAATATGTGATTTTGCCGATTTGCAAACAGCACAATCTTTCAAATATTGGCTTGCATTTTTCGTTAGATTTGAAAAAATATTCATCTTTGGAAGGGCTTAGTGATAATTACAGTTCATCAATAAAAACATGAGGAAGTATTGATATCGGTTATCGTGCCATTTCTGATTCGAGAGATAAAAAACGAGAAGTCGCTTTTCAAAAGCACTTTTCGATGAAAAATTTTAAGAATTATTTGTTACAAAGACAAAATCATAGGAAGCTAAGCAAGCGACACATCTAAATGAAGTGGAGTGAGCTATTCCAAGCAAGCAAATCGGCTACGATATGCATTCAGGTACAGGCACGTTAATACTCGACTCACTGCAGGTGCATCGAGTCTTCGAAAGCATTTCACCTGATGGTGAAAAATAGTTACGTTTCGATAGGAAATTAACATCGATGACAAAGTCAAATATCTATGCCTTCAACTGAGGCTTTGCAGCCTTTGAAGAGTATCAAAAGTGCGAGTTTCTCGAATACAACGAAACCATTACGATGGAAGATTTCCGATAACAGTTGATTCAATTGAACCTAGCATTCAATAGGAAAGGATAGCAAATGGATCAAAGGATATGCTAAACCGACTTTTCTGCTTGATACAACGCTCGCATCCTCATATTATTAAATACATTAAGTAGACTTTACAAGTTTTCTTGGCTTGCACATCAAATGCGCTAGTCATTGTTTCCAAGCGATTACTATTATTTGCAATAGTCTTATTACCATTTTTTTTTTGGAATAAAGATCTTTTACAAAGGATGAATGACACGAAAAAGTTAATAAATTTACAAGTTTATACTCTAAAAGAATAAATAATTCATTCGAGATGGAACTCGTGTCTTTCCAGAAGAAAGGAAAGTCTATAATAATGATCAAAACTTTGACGGAATCATATTTTTTATATTGTTTTCAGTAAGTTCGAAATGTTGCCTCAAAACTTAATTATAATATTCCCAAAACTTAATTATAATTCTTCGAAAATAATATGCAATCTACTTATGTCTTTCTTCCCTCTCTCTCTCTCTCTCTCTCTCTCTCTCTCTTTCGTTTTCTCTTTCTTTTCTTAATAATCATTGTTTCGAAATTTAGAAATTACTATAATCATATGAAAATATGATAATGATGATCATCTTAAACGGCGCATTTGCTTTTGTATTTGTTTTCTGTTTTCATTTATTTATTTATTTTTTTTTTTTATTTTAATTACTTTTCCTATGTATAATAATTTTTGTATATTAATTGGTGTTTGTTTGTTTTGTTATTACAATTGATTTTCAATTTTTCTTTCCTTTTTTTTGTGTTGAATACAATTTTATTTCTTTTCAGTTATATATTATTTTTAGAACAGTTGGGCAGTGTTAAATATTTTTCGTTTTTCTTTCATTTTTTATAATTATTTTCTATTTAACTATATTTTTTTTTCTTGCTATGTATTTATTTCTTTATTTATTTTTTACTTTTTTCAGTTTTGCGGTTCACTTTATCAGTTCTTAATGTTTGTAGTTGTTGTTGTTGTTACTGCTGTTGTAGGTGTGTTTTTTTGTTTTTTCATATATTGAATTCGAAATAAAAATATATTTCATAGAAAAAAGAAAAAACATAATTATTTCATTATCCCTTAGCTATTTTTGTTTTTTAATCCAAAAAGAAAAAGAAGAAGAAAAAGGAATAGGAGAACGAAGTAACAAAACATAAAAATACTTATTTATTATATTTTCTAAATCGAAATAAAAAGTTTATCTTTTCTCTGTCTGGTTTTTCAAGTTTTGAGGTAATTTTTTGCTTTATTTTAATTTTTTAGTTGCTTTTTTTGTTTTTTTGTTTTTTTCTTTCTTTCTTGTGGTTCTACATTTTTTAAGTTCACAAAGTTTTTTTCCCTTCTCCGCTGTGTGTGTACGTGTAAGTTTACTATTTATTAAATTCAGTTATAAAATATGTGGTTTTTTCTTTCAGTCAGGCTTTTTAAATAAAGCACGGTTTTGTTTTTTTTTTTTTTTTTTTATTTTTATTACTTTTGCATAAATAAATAAATAAAGAAATTAGCTTTAGATTCATTTGATTAACTAACGTGTGTTAAATTCAAAGTTTATGGGGGCATCGGTTTTTATTTTCTATGTTGCTTTTCATGGTTTCCTTTTATTTATTTATTTAGTTTTTTTTTTTTTTTTCTTGCTTTAGTATCTTTTTTTTTTTTGTTTCTTCTCATTTTTCAAAAATCAAAGTAAATTTTAAAAAAAAGTAAAGAATATTTTAGCACCGTGGTTTGCTTTTTGTTTTGTTTTGTTCTGTTGAAAGAAAATCAAAGTGTTTTTTTTAAATTATATTATGGATTTTTCTTTTTTTGTTTTTTCTTTATTAAAATTTAAAAAAATTAAAAATAATGTAATTAATTTTTATTATATAATTAATTAAATGATTAATTAATTATTATATTTATTATTATTATTATGTTAATTATATTAATAAAAATTAAATACATTATTAATTAACTAATAATTAATGAAAATATATTGAAAAAAAAAAAAATTCTAAAATATATTGCCGGGAAATTGATATCTGGGTTACGCTAAAATTGTATAAAAGGAAACGATTAAAAATTTATTTTAAACATTAAGCAAATGTCTTTTCTTAGCTAAAAAGTATAGTGATTTTTATTTTTCTTGTGAAGACAAGTTACTAAATAAATAAAAAAGTAACAAACGGAAATAGAGAAAAAAAAGAAAATCACATTCGCCTTAAGACGAATCATTCTACCCTTCACCTTAAAACACTGTTTGTCGATTAAATGTTGGCTCTTTTTGTCTTACTTTGTATGCCCTATGCCTTCTATTTGACAGCTTGAGATAAAAATCCCATTATTTTCAATTATGAATGGGGACAGAATTCTTTCAGATCGGCATAAAATATACACAAAACATTACGTAGCCTTTCTTATTCATATTTCGGGACATGTAATGAAATTTTCGATATTATTTCAATTTCAAGTAATCTCGTTCACACCCATCATAATATGTAACCATTAAAAAACATTGTCATTATTTCTAGATATACATAAAAATTTTATGACTTCCTTCGTATATTTTTCGTATATATCATAAAGTTCGAACTTTTACTGCTTTCTCAACTAAACCGTTTCAAAGAGAATTTATTAGTTATAGGGATTTCCGTAAGGACTTTAACGCGTACTCGTAACGCTTTCGACTTTTCTTTTTTTTTTCAAGCTTTTTTCAATTTCATAGTATGTAGTATACAGTTGGAAGTACAGTATACAGAATGGAAATGTAATCGACGAATGCATGTGCGGTCATGAACAAATTAGATGCGAATCTTACGTTAATCGAAAATATGTGATGCACTCGTCCACAGCACATACCGTTTCAATTTTAAAATGCTTTTCAAATAATTATATACGACCTGCCATACTAACGAATAAATTCCTAACGTTAATCAATTTCTTTTTTTAAGTAGTTGTTATGTGGTCTTATATTTTCTTTCTCTCTGGTATATGTCAATTCAGGAGAAAGCATAATTTTCGTTCTTACATGTTATTCAATTCAAATTCAGGTCTCCGTTTGCCGAGGTCTACTGAAGATATCAGTTCCGGCATTCGGCAAAGACAACGAAAAAGATGTCTCGGTACAATAGAAAAGTCTTAATAGTTAGGAAACAATGAGATTTGAAAGAATAATAAAACAAAAGTATAAAAATTAGTTAGAAAGTGAATCTAATTCTTATCTTATTTTGCATGCTAATAATAGAGGCATTCTTGAGTTTTTTTTTTTATTTTTCTTATTATTGTAATTCTTACAATGACATCATTTCCATCCATTTGACCCGTTTTCTGGAATAACACATCTATCGTATAAATCAAAAAATGAGTGTATCCGATCGAAGTCTATAATCCTTTTTATTACAAACAATAATGAATAATGACAAGAATAGTAGCATGTGTTCATGCTTTCTTGGTGGTGGGTGTGCGTACAAAAACAAAAAAATATTGAAAAAAAAAATTATAATTAACGTTTCTTCTTTTTTTCTACAATAATATAATTTTATTTTCTTTTTTTGTATAATAGGAAGCAAAACTAATATTAACGTAAATCGAAAAAAAAAAAAAAAATATGGTTAACTTTAGTTTTATGAATTTTTTTATTACAAATATATAATAATTTCGCATGTTGGCTGATTCAACTGTTGTCATTCTGTTGTGATTATTGTTGTATGAATTATTTTTAAATATTTTACATTTTCCGTTTTCATTATATATTTTTGCAATTTCTTTTTTATTTGTTTATTTTTCTTGTAATAAGTTTATAAATGTAAATGTTTGCTTTTCTTAAGAATTTAAAAAATTCGACTATTTTTTGCTTAATAATGATTTATACATACGCATATCTATATGTATATATATATATATACATACATATACATACGCATTTATACATATATGCATATATATAAAGATGCGTGTGTGTACGTATACAAACATGCATATATATATTATATATTTATAAATATATATATATATATATATATGTGTGTTTACATAATTAATTTAATGTTTCCTTTTCGTCTGTTAAATATTTAGGTATTGTTTAGGACTTGTCGTGTGTTGTTGTTATTGTGATAACCTTGAAAACTGCCTGTTAAGGATCCATGGCCAAAATATAAATAACAAGCTTACGCCGTTTTCTCTTATTCCGTTTTTGTTGTCTTCTTACTTTGTTAACATAATTTCTGGCGCAAGTGTCCACTTGTCTAATAAATTATTTGTTTCTTAATGACTTCCTTGTTATAATATATATATTTGGAATTCATCTTTTTCCAATTTTTTTATTTAACAAAAATTGTTTGAACATCCACACTATTATTTATATGCATATGCAGTTTATAACGTTTGCTTTCCATTTATGCTTTTTTGTTGTCAATCATTTTTTCTTTTTTATTTTTATCTCTTCTTTAATTTTTTTAATTTTTTTTTTTTTTTTTTTTTGAACATTAAAATTTCACTATCATTAATAGAATCCATTGAGTGTTTTTTGTTTTCTTCTTGTTTACTTTACTTATGATATATTAACATTTTTTTGTTGCTGTTTTTGTTGTTGATTTCTGTTTTTTTTTTAAGTCAGCATTTTAAACGTCTTCTTTCCGTTGTTGGTATTGTTGGTTTTGTTGTTGATGTAGATGATGGACGACGTTTCCTTTGCTGGCATTTGCGCACTACGACATTGGTAATCCCTGTACATCCATCATTTCGTCTTGTGGCGAAGGACGTGGTGGGAAGTTAGTGGTGGTCTGTACGTGTGGTGGTGTGGCTCGTGCATACATACCTCGTTGAGCGGGAAATTGTAAACGATAGGAACCATCATGCGTTTGTCGTGGTGTACGACGTGGCGATCGTGCTGGCATACGATTGGCTCTTTGCATTTCCTCCAATATTGAAGGCGCTACATATGTAAAACCCTACGAAAAACAGTTCCAAGATAAATTACATAAACTTATACACACAATCAACAAAATGGGAGCTTTTAAAAATTTTCATTTGATATATATATATAAAAAATAAAAATATGACTGATATGATGATTTTTTTTTTCATTTGCAACATTCAGAGGTAGACATAAGAGAAAGATCTCATAAAATATATACATAGAATTAATCCGCGTAAGGTTCGGGATCGATTTAGCTATGTTCAGTCATTTATCGATTCATCTGTCGATTGTGGTTTGCGATTTGAATGCTCACGAACACAAAACCTAAAATACTTATCATCTGTCATATATGTTTTCAGTTTACAAGTCCTTTTTCAAAACAAACGTAATGCACCCACACACAAGTACCTCTATAAACGGCGAAAATTTTATTTTTCAGATATAGCACACACTGATCTAAAATATGTAATAAATATTTCCTAGGCCCATCCATGGGGAAATTGTAATTATGATGATAATGAAGTAATAATTGCCCAACTGTCACCTCAGTATTTTGTCAATTTTTTTCATTTTTCTTGTTTGTGTTGTTTGCCACATGAAAGTTTTGCCGTATTGCCTCAAGGACAAATACAACTTTCTTATTTGTTTTTTATGTTATTACTATTGAAATAAGCATTTAACCAGTAAAGCAAGAAAGCGAGTTTTAAAATGTGGACGCAATTTGATCACAGACAAACCCACAGTGCAGATGAAGCTAAAAGACACAATTCTTCACCTTTTTGCCTGAAACTTTCAAATCCGCAATTGTATTTCTAAAAAACCGCTTCTCAAGCCTTCACCAGAACCACCTGCATGTGCTGTGCAAAAATCATCCAGATGGATTTGCTAAATATATCCACAATTAACGACAAAATTTTAATTTCCACTTCTTTTCCACTCATTTTAATGCACATTGGGTCGGATTTTATCGCAATTGTGGAGGTGACAGCAAACGGATTGGCGCCATTTTTGGAGTTAACATAAAAGTGATCATAATAAATATCCGAGTCTCAGGTTTTCGAAAATATCTTCATGGGATTGAAAGTTATAGAAGATAATATGAAAAATGTATCGATGTTTTCCGAGATTGCATTAGTTTCTTCTGCATTGCAGGCGTATCTGCGAGCAAATAGGGCCCGTTTTCTAACCTCGTATTCATAATAGATCAAGGAATGTTGACGCTAAATGTTGGCTTCCTATCTTTATTGTTACGAGTGTCACGATGCACACAATTTACCTAGTGTTAAAGCGCTGGTTTCAAAAACCGATGGCGCAAAAATGCGGAATGCAACAATGAAGATTTAATATATATATCGAAAAATAATTTGCCTAATATTGTTTCGCTGCGATCAATGTGTCGAAATTTGGGCGAAGCAGGCATTCAGGGATAGCATTCTTTTTCTTTTTGCTCGAACGTTAAGCCCTAATAAAAGATTTAATAGCAACAACAATCAATTGATGGATTTGAACCGTTCACTGTTCAAAACGTTAGAGAAAAATTAAGGAAGCAGATGATTGTGGAAAAGGCTAGCCCATGCGGTTCACCTAGCACATTTGGCTCCTTCTGATTGCCACCTATTTGCATCGATGAGTCATGCACTTGCTGAGCAACGTTTTTGCTTCGCACAAAGATGTGGGAAAAAAATGGATCGATGAATGGTTTAGGACAAAGGGGAAAGATTTTCACTGGCTTATTATCCATAAGTTGTTTAAAGTATCGGCAAAATCGGTAATCAGTGATAGAGCACATTCTGAATGAAGCGTTGTTATTTTTTACATTCTTCTGCATGTAATGTTTTCTTGTGCGAAAAGATTCCGTATGTGAACATTAATACACCTTTGCGTTTAGCACCCATTCGGAATGAGTGCTCAGCAAAAGACTATCAATACAACAAAATCGGCGCTTAATTATATATGATATGTAATAATTGATACATATAAAATTTAATCTTAAGTCTTCTTCCATCACTTGAAAAGACTTTTGTTGAGGAAGATCCTATCACTTTACCAAACGTTGATGAGGACAGTGTTTAAAATGAATTATTTCGCAAAGCTCTCATGCAACTAATTTTCTTCTTTTTTGGGCGTAGTGTGTAATAGATTAGCAGGAAATTCATAAGCGTATACTAAATGCGTTAAATATTAGTGTAAACGGTATTTAGATCACCATTACACATTTGGTATATATCCATGAATATCAAATACAGTGCAATATCTTCTAGGTACGTGGCTTTTTTTCTCTTTTTCGAAAGACAAAGAAGCGAAAGATTATAAAAATATGCTGGAAGTGTTGAGTGTCTCGATGAAGAGAAGAGCTATAGACGAATTAAATATAAATAAAGAAAGTAGCAAGCTTTTCTTGCTATTACTGTTGCTGCTGCCGTTGTTGTTGTTGTTGTTGTTGTTGTGGTTTGTACGCCAAACATAAAAGTCTGATCGAAGACAAAGCTTATAAGAGACTTAGTTAAATTGTGTTGGGGTTTCAAGGTAGACGGTACGCAAGCGCGTGCGTTTCAACTGACTGTCGCCGAACAATGATATAATAATTCAAAAAAAAAAAAAAAAAAAAAAAAAAAAACAGGAAAAAAGGGGCTAAACAAAGAAAGAAAACAAAATTTATAACAAAAATAACAAAAATTATAAAAGTAATGACACTCAGAAAACGTACTTTCACGCAAAGCGAAGGAGCGCGAAATATATTACAATAAAGAAATAAACAAAAATTTATAACAAAATAATATTGCGCATGCGTGATAAGACTCTTTCGCGTCGTATAAGTGGCCGCGAACAATGATTGAATGAGCACAAGATTAGCGAAGAATAGGTCATTTGCTCATAATCATGCACTAGGAAACAATATAAAACACTGACCAATCTATCTAAACGTTGTAGAACTAAATTATCATTTCGATTTTTTCACTTATTTATACCTTTTTTTTTTATGCGCTTAACTATCTAAAAGAAAGAAGAAAAACGTGTCTGGTCGAAAGTGCGCAGCAACAACAAGAAACACGAACGCTTTCTTCTCGTATTACTATTAAAAGCTTTATATATATGTATGTATATAAATAAATATATTTTTCTTGTGTTTCTTTGCTTTTTACTGCTAAAGAGATTGTTTGCTGGCTTGAAATGCTGGTTTGTTACTGGTGAAAATCCAAACATAGCCGTTGTGTTGTCATCTAAGAGTTTGAAAAAATTTGTTATATAATAAAACTCTTCACTCTGACACTAACCGTGGCATTAACCAGCTAGTTATCAAGCATCTGAATGTGTGCCTGCTTGCACGCGTGCACGTGTGCGTATTATGTTTAAAGATCATTATAATTTAAAGAATGTGTGCAGTTAAGAGGAGGAAATTTAAAAAATCATTACTTTTCATGCAATTATTTTATTGTCATAACAAACAGCAACAACAAAAACCTGCAAATAGAAAATATGGCAGTTTGCCCTGGTTAGGCAGCTTAATATTAATTTTACAGTTGCTTAAGCTACCTGGTGCAGCAGAGAATTCTCTACTAAAATCGTCTGTCGGTCTCACTACTATCGACACTTCAAGAGCCACCACAGCGACAACAACATTAACGTCAACGTCAACATTAACATTAATATCAACATCAACACCAACATCAACATCAACATCCACATTCACATCAACATCATTAACGTCGATACCAACATCACCAACAATAAATATAACGAGCACACCAAACCGAAACAGTATTTTGTTAACAAAAATTTCCAATGATCATGATGATAGCGGAGATAAAAGACGACTGTATCAACAACAGCAACAGAAATCGCCAAGAGGACCAACATTTTCCGATTTACATAAACAAGTAGGTATGGTTGGATAGTATCACAAAAACGTAGTCGCATAAAATTACAATACTTCAGTGAAACTAAACTGTTTCGTGTTTTAGTGTTTAGTTTGCAAAATAACTATAAACAGGTGCACAATAATAAAGCAACAACAAAACGCGACAAATACAGTGCCAAGGTGTATCCGTCATAACCCAACTAGCAACAATTAAAAATTTCCCGCCTAAATGTGTGCGTACGAACACACTCGCACACATATATACATATATATATTTCATGATTTAAAAAAAAAAAAAAAAAAAAAAAAGCTATCAAGCACAACTGCCATCATTGTGATCGTCTGCTGTGTGTATGTGTGAAAGTGAAACTTGTATACCGCTGTATATAAATATTTTCATAATAATGTTTTAATTTTTTGTGATTTTGAAAAGAAAATTCGTATTCCAAAGTTTTTTTCATTTCGAGAGTACAGTGCAGTGATGTGAAAAAAACATTACCATCTACGCATGACGGTAATAAGAGAAGCCTGTTCCTGGAGTTCCTATTTTTTAAAGAAAGATTTTATGCAAATAATACTATTAAGTTAATGGTGTAATTATTCTTTATTTCTGTTGATCATGCCTAAGATTTTGATATGGCCATGTGACAGCTCGCACGATTGCCAACAGCTTAGTGTAAAGGACGTCGTACAAGGAACTCAAAATGAAGAAAAAACTTCTATACCATCATATATATTTAGAAACGCAGTGTTCAATACTTTTACGCGTAGAATGTGTAGTACTATAACTGTTTCTCGGCGATTCTCCGGCATAGCAAGTCGATGTGCCGGAGGAATGCATAAAAAAGCTTTTTTTAGTCGTATATATTATCAATACGAGAAATTCATGTTTTACAACCATTCACATTGGATAGAGTACATTACTGCGTCCACCGGTGTAATCAATAAATAAATTATCTAATACTTTCAGCAAAACTTGATTCTATTTTTCGGGATAAACTCTTCTTATCTCGATACAGCGAATGGAACGGTTTTACAATTCTTTTATGTCTTTCACATTACACGACTTGCTTTATATAATAATTTGCTTTCAAAACGAGTTCTTCATTCGATGCAAAACGCTTACCAGAAGATCTCCTTGTGAGATTTCTGGCCATTTCTTCTCAATTTCTAACTAAGCCTTTATGTGGCAATAAGGAATAATTTTTGATAGGTATAAAATTGTATTAGTGAAAATGATGTACAATAAGTAGTGGTCTGACATTGTCCGACTGCAACGTTTTAGTTTGTTTTATACTCATTTCGTTAAGACAATTGAATCAAATTATATAAATATAAAAATATAAACAAAAATATAAATATAAATACAAAAATCCTGAATGAAAATATGTTAAAGTTTTTGGATCTGCTTCAACATGAATCTACGTCGACGCTCTATTAAAATTCTATAAGATACCAATTACAAACACTTAAGAGTAGCCTCAGTTTTTACATGAATTTTTTGAAAGGCATGTCAGCAAATTTGGATAAATCAATCTCCAAGCTTTCCGTAATCGGAGACATTTTTAGAATTCATTGATTTCCAAAGGAACTATGTTTTTACACTTTTTTGTGTGTTAATTTTCGTGCACTTTACAGTCTTTTGAAAACGTTTTCCTTTCATTAATAACCACCTGAAGTCCTTGCACACCCGAGTCCATATATATAAAGCTTTTAGTCTACTGATCAAATCAAAATTCATATGTGAAGCGCTTGTCTGTCCGACTATCCTTCCTTTTGTCCTTTTATTTTTTATTCAGCATACCCTTTGTAATTTTTGAAATTTTATTACACTGGTGTATTTTGGCCCAAGGATTTTACAACCACTCCCCCATATACTATCTCATTTAAAGAAAACAAAGACGTTACACACAAAAAAATTTGCAATTTTCAAAATTTCTCGACAAAAATCGTTGAGTAATAATAATATTGCGACATATTTAATAACTGATGTGAAAAGTTTGGCCCGTATGGGCAAATATTTTGGATCGACTTCCGTATTAACGTGCCTACGATAAATAAGCCTTGGCAAAAATATCTAATATAAAATATTTTATGATGAAACTTGGTCAGCCATAGGTATTTGTCGTAAGAAATAATTGCAGCCAATTTGAAGCATGTATGTGGGTATATTTCTTGCACTCCACCCCATATAAAGGTTTCCATGAACAGTCAAGAAAAAAAAGTAATAAAGTCTAATTTTTTGTACTTTATGACGAAAAAGTGTGAAGAATAATAAAATCTTTGGTAAGAAAATTAATTTTGCTAAACTTCGACGGTTTGGATTCATGTTCTTAGTTAGGCGTATCTGCTAACAGGAAAAGTATACCGTCACATTAAAATAACGTACACCTAATTCTCTTTTTACGCGATAGCTACGTTCCCAAACCATGCGTGTAAAACAAGATGTTCACTAAATAGTAATTTGGAGCGACAAAAGCAACTGAAAGATACATCAAATAATATTAAAAAATTTGTGTCACTTAAGAATTTATTTCGTCCTTAAACACATCTTAGTTTATTAAATATACTATCAAAAATAAATTATATTTTCGAAAACCAAACTGAATCGTGTAAAAAATACCTTAACTTTTCACTTTATGCTTAATTCAGGGAGTCACACTCATATATGCATGTGGTCGATATAATCTAACCGAATTGTGAAAAATATAACGCGATGTTACAATACAGATTTTTGAGGTGTGAGAATGAAAAAATTCATAAAAATAACAAGAAAAATATTCATCAGAAAAATTCAAAAAAAAATTCATTGAATATTGAAAATCGTGTTAAAACAAACCAATTCGTGTAAAAAGAGAATTATTTTTTCTTTTTAACTCGTATTTAATCAAATTGCATGTAAATAAAAATTCGTGTAAAAAGAGAATTAGGTGTACATAATCTTTGCTATTTTACTATGAAAGTTAATAAAGAATCACATATGATGCAGCCACGTAGGGTTTTAATGGTGAGTCTTGGCCGAGGATAGCGTTTTTGCTTGTTAAATCTTAAATAATCTCTAGGGTCTTTAAGCTTAACTAAGGACTTCTAATAAGATTTCCGTATAAGTACGACCTGTGAGCAAAATACAAATAAACCAAAAAATTTGCTCGAAAGATGGATGACTAGTAGCGAAATAGAGCATCTTCTTCTTATTATAATAATATAACAGAGACCTTTATTCGATAGAGAATTGATCGTTATTTGGGTAAACAATTGAGCGCAGTGATCCAATAGAGTAGATTGTATTTGTAAGGAATTGATTCATTGCTTCAGCGGAGTAAATTGTTACTGTGATTCAAATAAATCAATTCTTCGATTTGAATAACAAAATATTAAGGTTTTTTTCGAGAGATTTTCGTTGCCTATAGTTATGTACGTATCCAAATAACGCAATAACTGATTGGATAAATAGATCTTGGGAGTTTTTTTTTTTTTGTAACTTTGAAGATTTTTTCAGAGAAATTGGTACAATGTATTTTATTCAAAGTATTATCCATCGTTAGCTACAACTTTTCCGCATATTGTTTTGGTTGGAAAAAACTTTAATGCACCACCTCCACTGACCGCTCAAACGCGATTATCAACGATATTCAGCCTTATTTTTTATCATGTCTTTAGACATTACGGCGCACCCACTGTTCATCACTTGTTTCGTTATGATAATTTATGTAGCTTCAAATGAAGAAGTAGCAGTGTTATTCTGTACTCTACAGTATTAATTACAATCTCTGTACTCTTAATATTAGATTTCGACTAAAAGTTTAAAAAATTTGCAATAACAGACAAAAAATTTGTTTCGAAAATATCAGTATTCACGAGAGGCAACTGGGAAATGTTGGTTTTTCGGGTAGTGTTCAGTTTACAACACCATCATCAACATTACATTATCAACGTAGTTTTTAATTAACGGCTTTTCTATGGTCTTGTGATATATTGATGAAAATATTTTTACAATTTTGTCCTAAAATATAATACTGTTTGGACTAAAATTATTATGAGTATGGATTCGTTAACTCGAGTACCACTGCGTGGATCAATTTGATTTCTTTCAGCTTTTGAGCTTAAAAAAAATAGTTACAAGGCACGCAAAAATTGACAAATGTTCGGATTTGTTTTTCAATTTTTCTCTCTGGCCAATTTTTCGGGATACCGACGACGTGTAACTGTTTCTACGAGAAGAATCCATTTGACCGATAATCTTTGTGGAATTAGCATAGTTACAAAAACGAGGATAGGGAGCCGACAGTTGGCGTACACCTTTCCTGATCGATTAAGAATCTAATGCCAAGAAATGGGTGTGATTTGCGAAAAATTCACGCTTAAACTGGTCTCGATCGGTATGCTTACAAATCCACAAATAATTATAGAATTTTAATTCCGACTTATTTCCAATTCATTCTAGTGGACATTAGCACATCCTTTATGCAAATACAAATGAATTGAAATTAAAATTTTTCAGGATCCGATTTGACTGAGATGTTCATACCGAAAAAAGTGTTTTAAGAATATTTTACATATGCAACTGATATTAATTAAGACGCTTACAAACACAAACTTCACAAGCATACGAACGAAGTCTTTCTACATGCTTTTCGATTCCAGTCCCATAAATTGCAATAAACTCACATGCTTTCCAATGTACTAACGAGCGAAACTTTTTTCTCTTTGCGATTACTGACCACCTAACCATGTATTGCGATGTAACGAACGAAGAAGAAGATAAAAGTCGTAGTGTAATGTTTAAGAATATTACGGCAAAAACTTTTCCAATTTCTGCGTTTTATTATCCTTATCTTTGTGATTAAAATCTTTGAAATTTTTGTGTTTTAAAGAAATTTTTTGCTTTGAGCAAAGAGCTATGCAAAAAATAGAGAAGGTGTACCTTTGCTACGAGTATGCACTGCTACGGAAAATCAACTCTTATTAAAAACGATAAACATGTGATTTGCACTGCGAAAGCAACGAACCGATCAGGATATTTTTGACATTCAGATGCGTTCGTAATAACTGGAAATTTTTAATTATCCTTACAAGATTCTTTTCTCTTCACGACCATGAATTGCATGACATTTTGAATCCATCTGTTCCAGCCCTAGCTCTTTATGCTTTACTATCATCGTCATTTATTATGAAAAATCTCCAGAGCATAAAGATCGAGAAAAGAAATTAAGTCTTCGCTAATAAATTCATAGATTTATTTTATTGTCAGATTTTATAATTGCACAGGGACACTTGTGCGTAAGCTAATAAGTGAAAAGGTGCAAAATATATTAAAAAAATTTTCATGGCTTTGTCAATATAAATAGCAAACAAATATTAATGGAAATATTAAAGAAACTTATACAATTCTCTCCTACTAGCATAGGACCAATGTAAATCGCCCTAGAGACAAACAGGCCTTTTTAATGATTTCTTCATATTAGTGTTTGTAAAACTGGTTTCTTAAACCAGTGAAAAATCAAGTTAAAGTCGGTGTTGTGTAAAATGGATGAAATTAAATTTTAAAGACACAGTCACACAAGTATAATTCGAAACAAATTGCTATTAAAATATGATTAGAAAGTAGCGTACAACAACTAATTTTAATATGTAATCTAATTTCTGTTTGTGTTGATTGGTCACAACGAATGCCTCACAATAATTTTTTTATTTTTCATTTTTCATTTTTATAGTTGAAAACTTAATAAAACAATGGGCGCCAATAGTATGGTTAGCGCCTGAAGAGAAATTCATGCCATTAGGAGTTGAGGAATTTTTAATTCATGTTCATCCCGAAAATACGGGTAAGCCCCTCACACTTGGCATGCCAGTGGGAGATATATCTGAGAAAAGCTACTTAGTAACTAATACGAATATAGGTAATTTTAAGTGAATTGTTTGTAAAAAACTAATAATAAATAACTTCTTATAATATTCGTTTTTTTTTTTTTTTGCTTAGAGCAACTCTTAGAAAACAAAACTTCCTTTATATACGGACACAATCCTAATATTGCACCAGTTCCTATTTACGCGGTAGTAAGTTTATGCTTACCGGAAAATAATCCCTTGAAATTGGATATTACGCCATCACCGTCACCGCCGATGAGCACCAGAGCTGCTTACATACCCATTTCGTTGAAACTTCAAGAGAGTAAAAATGATACTTTTAGACGTTCATCGCGATTATATCCCATGTTTAAGAGGATACGACGCAATATACCGGAGAAGCGAGCGCCCATCGTAGCTAACTACAATTTAGTAATGGGTGAAAAAGTACAAACCGCTGCCAAAGATTTATCAATGCCATTGCCATTGAATTTATCATTGGAAGCGACCACCCAAGAAGCAGAAAAATGTAATAATTTCATCGCCAATTTGGCAGACAATGTCAAATTCAGTTTACCCTTAGATGACTTTGAAAATATAGTGGGCTACGAAGGGGAAATGCAAAAACAACAGAAACACAAAGCAAGCTTCGCTTACAGAAAAGATATTAAAATTCCGATGTTCCATGTCACCTATTGGATGTTTTATCCATTTAGTCAGGTATGCAAGCTTATGAACTGTTAAAAAAAAATTGCCTATAGCAATAAACAAATTGAAGGGTAAGAATATGTGCACTTTGAGCTTGGGACCCTTCGGCAGCATACCATTTCCGGCAGTATATGGCTACTGTCTGGGCAGCAATAAAGATATAGGCAGTCACATTGGAGATTGGGAACACATGAGTTTATATTTTAATTGCGCAGCCGAACCGGAAGCCATGTACGTTTCAGCTCACGACGCTGGTGCTTATTACACTTATAATCATTTGACTGGTTCATTTGAGTTTAAGAAACAAGAAACACGCAAAGGAATTTTGCAAAGGCCTAATTTCCCAAAAACTGTAACTACTTTCAATGATCATCCAGTGCTGTTTGCTGCTAAGGTAAACAAATTTTCAAAGTTTTCAATAAATATCAGAAATATATATATTTTGCAGGGTTCTCACGGCCTGTGGACAGCTCCCGGTAAACATCGTTTTGTTAAAGTAGCTCGCTTATATGATATAAACGGTTTTGGTACTCCCTGGAATACTTGGAAACATGTCGATATTACATATGAAAATCTTAAATCATACGGTGAGATATAATTTTTCTAAGATCTTCGGAATACTTGGTCGAATTGCAGCTTTTTTTTTTTTTTAAAGGACGTTCATTAACTCCAAGCTGGTTATTTTTTAAAGGAAAATGGGGTAATCCGAAAAGTAAATGCCATCCGTTAAAGCGAATTGGTTTAAATTTTTGTGAGTACACTGATGGACCAGTGGGTATACCGTTAAAAGAATCACATTTCCAATGCGCTCTCTCTTATAAAAATTAAATGTAAACCGTTCAGTGCCGCTTAAGTGGTCACAAAATTCCCAAACTGATGCAATAGCCAGAAATTTAAATAAATTTTGTTACTTAAATAATAAATAAATTGTTTTTATAGTACGTACATGATGACTATATACGAGCGGTTGTAAGTAAAGAGTATAATGAAAACATTCAAATTCGTTTAAAACGAGGAGATTATAATCACTTCCCAATGCAATAAGGGGATTGAAGTTGTGCTTTTATGATCAAAGTGCCAGACAATTTGATTCTCGACATATTGCGATAAAAAGCATGGAATCAACTTTTTTATATTTATTATAATCTTTATAACATTTTATCCTGCATCACCGGTGGTGCAGAGTATATTAAGTATGCATGGATGCGTGTAACACATAAAGAATTTAAGACAGACCTACTTTCATTTATACCGTTAGACCCGAAATGATTTTCTGCAAAGATTTAAGCTTGTCTGTTTAACCGTCCATGCGTTTTTGCATTCACCGAACTAGTCGCCATTTATAAAATATATTGCCGAAGTTTAATAGATAGCCCTGCTTTGCCTCAATTGAAACTCCATGGGACCAGACGTTCTTTATGTATCGTTACATTTGGAATAAATCGTAATATGAAAAATATGGCAGAATTAAAAAATTTCTCGGGAAAAAGCGTTAAGTAATAGTGCTTCGGCACATTCAAGTGATGTGAAAAGTTTAGACCAAGTAGCCTTTGCTTTTAACCACGCACTGTAAAACCATTTATATATATAACAAGGACTAATTTTTATTTTATGACGAAAATGGGTCAATAGCATCAATGTGACACAGAAATTGACCGCAAAAAATTCGGAATTCGGTGGGTGAAATTTTTAAGCCTCCACCTCATATAAAAGCTCTAATGAAAACTATGCCCTTACTCGAGCAACGATGTTTAATTTTTAATATTGTAAAAAAATTGCTGAAGAATAATAAAATCCCTTGACAAAAAATTAATTTTACTCAATTTGAATCACGACTTCCATGAAAACAAGATACAATTTTTGATATTTGGTCACGAGAAGAAACGAAGAGATATATTAGGCGAAGCAATGTTTTTACTTTCTTGGTAATAAATATATCCTTGGTAACTGAACCTACATTGTCTTTGGCAACTGGAACATATGCCGGCGTTGCACTCACATGCAAACTTATGCAGAATAACCTCTATACAAGAATAAGTCAATACATATTCGGTATTAAACATTCAGTGAATATAAAAACTATAATTTATATAACATCAAATGGAGTAGGATGGTTAACCCACTGCCGGTTATGTGATATCTCGTAGCGAGGGTAGATATCAAAACTGGCGGTTATGAAATATCACGTATGCGCTTAATTAATAAATAAAAACTCGCCACCTAGGGCAAGACACCCTAAATTTCCCTGCTAGGGTACCGGTAAATGTCAGGCGCCTAAAAAGCATACTATTAAAGGGGATATTCGTTTATTTTCTGATTTTAACTGATTATGGACGAACAAGCAAATAAATTTAAATGGCTTTTGTGTCTTCAGACAGACAAGTCGATTGGCTTACATAATTTGATTCGGCTATTCAGAATATACATATTCGGTAAGATTCACAAATCATGAATAATAACTAGACTGGCCTGTAGTTCCTGTATTTTTTCTATCTTATGGAAATCTTATTGTATTGGACTTAAGCCAGCTACTGACTAAAATAAAACACCACGGAAGCAGATGAAAAAGCCTAATGTTACGAATGTGTTGTCAATTAACAGTAGAGAAAATTTAAAGCTTATTTATAGGCTACGGTACCTACAAACTCGGTGCGTACAAACTCGCATTAGAGGTACCGACTATTTTACGATAGAATTTATGGATAAACGGAGATTACTTTCAATAGTTCATTTTCAACTTTCTTCAATGATTAATACAACAAGAAACATATAAGACTTACTTGAAATATTAAATTGGCACTTTCGCTTAAAGTTGTCTCATCTGGAGAGTCAACGGGAATTTGTCTGGTAAATCTTGTATCAAATTGTGACACATCGTCTTCACTGCGCTAAAATTTTCAGAGCATCGAGAATAGGTCAAAAATTTCATTTGCTTGTATTGTTTGTACTGTATTGTTTTACCAAAAGTGGCTTAATTGGCGGATCTAAGCGTCGGGCCAATACATCATCCCAGTTGACGTGTTTAAAAAAAGGATGCGATTGCACGGCGGCCGCATCTTCAGGACCGCTACCTAAACGTTGCGATTCCTGACGTTTCATTAAACGGCGTACTAAATCTCTAGCTTCCGGGGTTAAATAAGCAGGCAAATTTAGTTTGGCTTTTAATATGGTTTCAATCGTTTTTTTACGATTTTCTGCGGTAAAAGGAGGCTAACGAAAAAAAAATTAGAAGTTTAAATCACAAATATCTAAAGAATTGTATTTTTAAAGACAATTTCAACTTACTACACCAGTTAACATGTCAAACATTAAAGCACCTAAAGACCACCAGTCAACGGCTTTACCATGACCACTACGTGTAAGAATTTCGGGAGCCCTTTTTTGTTATATATGAGAACAATGTTAAAATGTTTACCCATAATTACTTAATTAATTTTTAATTAACTGAACACGTACATGTATTCAATGGTACCACAAAATGTGTGAGTAACGATGCCTTCCTGTATATGTTCTTTGCACAAACCGAAATCGGTTAGTTTAACATGACCTTGAGCATCCAGTAGTATATTTTCCGGTTTCAAGTCACGATAAATTATGCCCAATTTGTGTAAATGACCCAAAGCCATTATAATTTCACTTAGATAGAAACTAAAATTCAAAATTAAATTCAAATTTTATATAAAAATTGTTTACAATTTACAATTTTTTTTTACCATGTCGTATCCTCCAGAAATATACCCTCACGTTCCAAATGCATAAATAGTTCACCACCACTTAGATATTCCAAAATCAAATACAATTTCCCATCCGTTTGAAAAGCATAAACTAATTCAACAATAAAAGGGTGTTTAACGGCTTCTAATATATTTCGCTCAGCACGCGTATGAGCTGTATCTTTTTGATTCGTGACTATAGATGCTTTTTTTAAGACTTTCATGGCAAAATATTTGTTGGCGTCGCGACCAGAGGTTTTGCGTACCTATGAATAAATACAGCAGATTATTAAAAAAATTAAGAGAAATTGATTTTTATCGTTTATTTTTTTACCTGGAAAACTTTGCCATAACCACCTTTTCCCAGAACTTTTTTCAACTCGAAATCTTTCGGTCCTAATTTAATTTTCCCAGGATTTACATTTTCTTCGGATAATTGTATGGTTTCCTGACCTTCAGCTCTATAAATATAATTTGCGTAAAATTTTTTAAAAATTTTCGCTTCACTAAAATATTATGTTCAAACAGAATCTTAAAAAAGCAGATATTTGTATTGCATTTTATATTAATACTCACTCTTGTTGTATGTTTATGCTTAATTCTGGTTCCAGGTCGACCTGCAAAATGTTGAATTAACAATTAATAGTAATAAAAAGAAAACAAAAAGTTATCTATGCAATTTAGGAAACTCAATACTTCAATAAACGTAAAGCTAAATTAAGTCTACAATTGAAAAAGAATAAATAAATAACGGGCGATTCCCATCCATATACAAAAGGAGCAATAAAAAAGAGTTTTCCTAAAGTATTCCCTTTCATTACGGAAGGGTGATTAAAATTTTCATCTCGCTTGGCTTTAAAATATTTGTCCATAACGCCGACGTAATCGCTTTAACCAAGAACTTCTTAGATGTTCTAAGCGTAGAAAACTTGTGAAAATTGATTTAATTAAGATCTTGTGCAGTGGTATAAGGATTGCAGTATAATAATAATTGATGAGTAAAATCATTTAATTTCTTCCGCGTATACAGCTGTAAGTCCCTTTGGTAGATTGCTTTGCGATGTTTATACGGATATAGACAACACCCAGAAGGACTTGAGATAAATCCACCCTGTAATTATACCGATTTTGAATCGATCTCAGCTTGCCTTTCAGTCTCGCTGTCCATCTATTTTGTATTCTTCTGTTCAGCCTATAGATAACAATTTTTGAGATAGTTTGACGATTTCGTTATACAAAGCCATAAACAAGGAAATACACTTACAAGATTTTTATGGGTACTTTGTTTAAACTGCATTAGTGGGTCTCAAATTTCGTGTGTGCTATAAGATTATAATGATTACCCTAAATCTAAGTTTTACACAAAATCAATTATTCGCTGTTCTTGCTTGTGAACAAATTTCTTAAAATAAATATAATTTATTTTACTCAACAATTAAATAACCATTAAACCATTGAATAATTTAAAAAATCTAGACATCACATTACATTTAAGACCCCTTAATCGATATTGGGAACTTCATGTATGGTTGGGCAAATCTTTTTGGGATAAATATTTAATGGAAATAAAAATTAAACTGCAAACTAAAGCACTTAGAGTCATTATTTCGTATGGACGATTATTTATATAATCGCGAAAAGAGGATAACTAAATAAACTCATCTATTACACATAAACCGCGCAATAAGTTTTTAAATTAATAACACTTTATTGGACAGAAGCTAATATTATAATTTCAAAATATTTCGAAATTGCGTTGAAATAAATATTAAAACACATAAAAATACTTGCGAGAATAATTTTAAACACTACAAGTATGCATATTACGACACTGGGTGAAAATATTTCATATATGCATATGTATATAAAAATAAACATGTGCTTACGTGCAACGAAAAAAAGAACTTAATTAACATACGAATCAAGATTTATTATAATGTTCACGATTATTTCTATCAAATTAAAAATATAAGAAAAGACAAAAGTCGTTTCAACATACTTATAATAACCATATGCTTAGGATATTCGCCAACTCTATTTGAAAGATTTAACATCAAGGTGACTAAATTACCTCAATTTATTTTTCTAAATACAATTGTGGTCTAGCAAGTATTTACATTGTGCACTGTAAAGGGATTGGAAGAGTTTTAGGTGTTAAACGGGAATGTTAAACTGTCTAATACCCGGTGCGACATTGATAAGATTGTCAACGCTTAGTGTATTGAAAGAATGTTTACATTTTCCGGTTTGTTTAGTTTCAACGTTTACTTCTTATTTGGGCACAAAACGAGAAAACAAAATCAAAAAAGAAAAAACAAAAATTCGGTTTGGATCGAATCTCTTGATACTCATTTAAGGCTAATTATACCCTATGCTACTTGTGGTACAAGGGTATATTAAGTTTGTGCGGGGTATGCAACAGTCAGAAGAACTTTAAATAGACGCGCCTTGCGGTGTTGCGATCGATTTAAAATCACTTTTTGCATCGATCTAAGCGTCGGCCTTTCTGTTTATCTTGTTTTCTTGTATTCAATTTATAGGTTACAATTTTTGAGACATCTTTTTTTTTGGATCAAGGACGGCCATTATTGAAAATGGTTCACTTTGAACCAGCGTTTCGACCACTCCCTCTGTGAAGCCTTATTTTGAAAAATCGTTACGTTGATAACTGCATTAAGCGGTGTAGGCTATTTAATGGTTGGCCATATCCCACTAAAATGTTCCCAATTGTTTTATGATAAATAAATTTCCTACCCAAACCAAATGTGTGTTTCATCAATTATATACGACATGTAAACGAAATATGTAATTGCACTGTAAAAGTATTCTTTTCAAGCGTAACTATGCCATAATTTTGTACGCTAATACACAAATAGACTATAGTATATAATATATATATATATATATATATATATATGTAATACCTGCAAACCAATTGACTACATCACTCTCTCCATACAATTTTCTACAAAATCTTGTCTTTAAAATCCACTTCAAATCATAATTGTAGCTGATTAGATTTCCTCGAATCAAAGTTAAATTAAATTACAATTTGAAACTCTAACTGTTGCAGTTTTACCACAAAACACACAAGCCAATAGAACACAATAGATCCGAAGAGCAATATACTTAACGTAACATACTCAAAGAGTAACATGTTTAATGTATATTACTTAACCATAACAAAAACGCAGCATGACTAAAAACTTTAAAGAGTAGAAAGAGGCCATCTACGAGAATCGCTCTAGCCGGTTTTCTGAACTTAACGGCACTAAATTAGAGAGAAAAAAATATGTACACAGCTAGGATTAATTTGCGAGATGAGAAAAGTGAGATCTGATGGGGCATTTGTAATGTCAATAGGCGGATAATTGCGTACGTCTAAGCGAATTTGCCGCCGAGCTGCCTTTCGCTCTCTCACTTTTCACAAAGCATAAACACTTTCACACATTAATTAAAAGCTAAAATTGGTAAAATTTTTAGAAAGCGTTTACTAAGATCCTTCGGTAAGAAAAGCAAATTACATTTTTAACGTATTGCTTTGGATATTTTAAGGAAACTATGAATCGTCTACGAAGTGCATAGCATGAATGGTTGATGCAAGATGTTAGCGTACTTCAATTGTCTTTTAAGAGAAACACAACATGTAACCTCAACATTGACGAATGAAATGTATGGAGGCATTTCCCGTTTGAAACGTAAAAAGATTATAGAAAGTTAATGAATAACTTTTTCTGTTTACATAGAGAACTTTTGCAATTTTTGTTTTCCTTACACATATTAAACGATGGCTATGTCATTAGTTTACAATTATATTTAATATAATCTCTCCTTGTGCCGTCTATTGGATTCAAAATGTCGAGTTTTGTGGATGTGTGAACGTAGGAGTCAGTTTTTAATTCTGCTTTAAATGTTTGCGATGATTAAGCAGCCGCATTTCAGGACAGAAAGACCTTAAAAGTTTGCAATGAAAATACATTTAAAAAATACTTTTGTATTCCTTTTGAAATGGGTAAAGACAGATTCCGCTCTGGTATATATGGAGCTCTGATTGATATGAAGATGTCTGAAAACAGGCAGACAGACTGACGGGAGACTTAACTAATCGTCCGGCTATTTACATTGTGGTTCCTTCCAATTTCGAGTAATTCCTATATTTTACAAGTGTAAGCTTGATATATACCGTGTGGTGGACGTAAAAAGTAAATGAAAAAAATTCTTTGCGCTGTCGCAAGGTCGGCACGCAAAACGAAATCAAAACGGGTCAAGTGACTCGTATAATATATTAATAATAAAGTTATATCACTTAGGAGTTTACTTCAGCTTTCATTCATTATTAATCATTCCAATATTGGCCTTGGGCAATATTGATCTTCAAAATTGAATAAAGTCGACTTTAAAAATTCCATTGACATGAGAATTCGAGTTTAACACACTGCAATGGCGAGCTTATGAGAAATATAATCAAAAAGCACAAAACACTATCGGAACACGTTATAAAAAAAAAAAAATAATTATAAGTAATTGACTGCATATTGTCTAATCTTTACTGAATGTCACAATATCAGTGCGATTTGATAGGCAAAGTACGCTTTTGTCTGAACAGTGTGACAAACGCTGTACATATAGTAGGTGCCATATTGATATGATTGATAATACCTTCTCTCAGCGTATGCATGCTTTTTAATTACATATATGACTTTTGGATCTGTTATCAGCTGCAGGAATTTGTTAAATAGTTATTAATATCAAGAATACTCTCATTAAATTTATATTTTATGTGTTCAATTTTGTAAATATATTAGATGCTCCCTTTCCATTTACCCGTATTCGGGCTATGCGAAGGTACATTAATTAGATATTTCATAGTACAAGTTATCTAGAAGCTGTCTCGTTACAATTTACATGTAAGCACAGGGAATAATGTAAGTAATAATTTATCAACAAACAGGTGTTATTGTGGGCGCCACTTCAATTCATTTCACATACAACTTAAGGAAATACTTTTAAAAAGTTTTGTATATATGCATACAATAAGTATTTTATATAAAAATTGTTTTACGAAAAATTTATATTTCATAAAGAGATACATATACCAGGCACATCAACCAATACTTCACATTACCCATGAATTATTTAATTAGATGCAAATAAATTTGTTCATTTACTGAAGACACGTTCGTGTCGTAAAGTTTTTTTTTCCTTCTTTTTTTTGCTCAATCATTCAGCGTTTGAATGAAACAAGCAATACGAAATTTGAGCATTATGGCCTGACACAACTACCAATACTCAACTATGCTCTTTTGCATCATTATCATGCAAAAGTTATGAGCATGAAAACAAATAAATAAATAAATAAACAGAAAAATCTTTGATAGTGTAACATCACTAACAATCGATCGAATCGGGTTTCTTTGGTATTTCCGCTTGTTAGCACTTTGTTGTTGTTGCTTTTTTTCATTTGGAACGCAATAATAACTTGTAAGACATGTATGTATATATATATAGTTATTTGTTTTTGTTATTATTCTGTTTTTGTCTTCATTTCAAATAGAAATTTAATGTTTACCGTAAATCGTCAATTTAGAAACATCTCTCCGCATTGATATGTAGGATGATACGAGAACAATATTATACATATGGATTTTACTTACATCGTCCAATTCAATTTTATCATCATCAGAATCGCGGGGATTTTCATCCTCGTGCAATTCCAAAACAAAGACTTCACTGGAGTCATTTACGTCAGCCATTTGTTGAAAGTAATGATTGTTGTTGTTATTAAATATATGATGATGTAGTTCGCTTTGTGTTTGGGAAAAAGGACGGGGACGGGGAGGAAAAGGGATCACACACACTGTGTGCCAAACAATCGACGTTAAGTAAATTCTCGCCTGCCTGTGTGTGACAATCTCGAACAGCCAAAAAGAAAGGCGTTTTATAATGAATAATGCGTGCGCAGCTAACCAAGTCACTGCGCCCCAACAAGACCTTGAAGTTATGTATGTAAAGAGATATATAGTCACAAAATTTCTTTGTAATTAGACAAAAGCACTAATAAATTGCTTAATTATTGTTGCTGTAATTTTGCTTTATTGGTCCCAGCTAGATGTCAGCTAGCCACCGCCAGCTAGAGAGGCAGACGATTGAAGAGCTGTCCAAAATAAAATAACACACACAACGGAGTATACAAAAGTTGATACACATGCACGCGAACACTATCAAATAAAAAAAACTAATAATTCAACCAAATATACGCAAATCTTTTAGTTTATTATTTCTAGTTTTCTTTTAATCTCCGATTTCTTCACTTTTTATGTTTTCTTATAAATTTTCACACGTTATTTTCTTGACTGAGTTGATATAATTATATATATATATATATATACATATATATACATATGTACATACATATATATACATATATGTATATATATATATATATGAGGAAATGTGTTTGCGATTTGTTTTTACTTTGTCTAAATAAAAAATTTCACACCGAATGAAACACGAGGAGGCGGCGTTACCATATCTAGTAATTCACCTACCGACAAAATAAACTGTATATTATAGTAACAACTGCTTTCTTTTATTGTCGTAGGAAGCGTTAGTACATCGTCGCTGAACTTTTAGTTTAGTTAAAGATTTTAAGTTTTTCATTTCATTTGCTTGAAACTGATATAACCACAAAAAATCGCTTATATATGTATATGTCTATATATATGGATGTTTTATTTTTCCGCCTTGGTCATACTATAGAAACACGCCAATGTATACTATTCGTCCACTTTGAAATTGTGGTCGAAATCTTACAATGAAATATATACTTTGTGAATGCCGAAACCTTTTATTTTTCACTCTAAATAAATTGTAATAATAATTAAAAAGTATGTATACTATTTTATTGAGTTCAGTTTTGATGGACTTTTCATTAGTATTGAAATTGTTGGAACTTCGTAAGTACAATTACGCTTATTTACTTTCTGTGAATCAATCGATCATAGCTAAGCTGAATAAAGTGGATGTATTACATTCAAAAAAATCAAAAAACGTATAAAATGGACTAAAGTAAAACATATAATCAGAAATTTCCTTTTTTTAAATTCGTGAACTAAAAATCATTTTGGAAAATCCTTCTGGCGTAATGAAAATTTCCTGCCCGTAACTATAAAATTTTCTCAATATCGAATTAATAAATATCGCACTATGTCAGTCAACTGTTTAGAGTAAGATGCGCCTCAACTAGGTTAATATTAGCGAACCACAGTACACATACAATGAATGCTTACAAATGTATGGAATTTAAAATCAAAAAGTCAGTACATAGTATTTCATTTGCTGGCTAATAAAATGCTATACTAGTGTTTTAGTAGTGTCGTCAACAATACATGTTTTCCTCACCTCGCCAATTTTTTTTTGCTTCGCACGTCAAGAATCCATAATGTTTTACTCCCCAAAACGATAGTCGGTGTTTTGCTTCCCTCGTCAACCACATGTTGTTCATTACTATCGAAACCAACTAGCTTTATTGGGTTAAAGAGTAGTTGATAAACTTGTCTATTACCTCGATATTCTGGAATTACTAGTGATGATAAGGATTTTGAAAAATAACAGATCTGATATCTAATTTTAGAGCAGATGGAGCAGATATTAATAATTTTTTCCATCCCTGATATAGACCTTTTAGTTTACGGTACACAGCAGTATATTACGTACTAATGTTGTAATGTAATTTTAGCAGCTCGGTGCAGTAAGAATTTATAACGCAGAGTTGCCGATAATTGAAACTGCTAAGAAATTTCAGAGATATACAGATTAAGAAAAATTTATTAATTTTTATCAATTATTAATTTTATTTTATATAATTTAACATCATTTTGTACGGAGGCCGATAAAATATCAGATTATAATTTTGGATATTGCGAATTCGGTTAAGAGTAGAGAATGTCGCAGGAAGCAGCAAAACCTATCAATGTTAATGATTTGCAAGACCTAAAGGAAAGGATGAAACTCATAGCGGAGGCGGATCCTAAACAATACCATAATGATTATTCACTAAAACGCTATTTAAGAGCTTTTAAAACCATTGATGATGCTTTCCAGGTGAATCGTAAATCTCTTCTTTTTTTTTAATGTTTAAGTTTTGTAATATTGTCGTTTAAAATTTGTTTAGGCAATACTTAAAACAAACAAATGGCGCGAGCAATATGGTGTAAGTGACCTGGCGAATTTGCCAGAACTGCAGCAATATGGTGATAAGGCCCGCGTGCTGCGTCATCGCGATTGTGCTGGTCGACCTATCATTTACATACCAGCAAAAAATCACAACTCTAATACGCGTGATATAGATGAGATGACTAAATTTATCGTCAAATGTTTAGAGGAAGGCTGTCAAAAATGTTTTGAAGAGGTCACTGATACTTTGTGCATTGTTTTTGATTTAGCAGAATTTAGTACTTCCTGTATGGATATGCAGCTGGTCAAAAATCTCATTTGGCTACTCAGTAAACACTATCCTGAACGCCTAGGCGTATGCCTTATATTGAATTCACCAGGTTTTTTTTCAACTATTTGGCCAGTCATACGTCAACTGATTGATGATAATACGGCACAGAAAGTGATTTTCATCGACAATGAAACCGAACTATGTAAATATTTAATACCTGATGTCCTTCCCACTGATATGTAAAGTGCAATTTTTTATATCTAAAACGTTATACTCTTGTACTAAAGGACAATTAAGAAAACTTATATATCTTAGTGGTGTATATTTTGTGTTCTATGTATATATATATATATATATATATATATATATTCATGTACATAATATATATATAGATATATAACCTGTGTTGCTCCTTGTGTATATTTTTGAAATAAAAATCCTTATAAGAAATGCATTCCATTTTCCCACAATAGCAAATATTACATTATTATACTGCTTTACATAATAATATATATAGGTTACATAAATTACACACATTTATGAATGTCTCTAAAGTAATTGTTATCTATCTGTTTTTGTTGTATTTTACATTTTCGAGCTTTAAGAAAAAACAAATTTCATGACGACAAGTCAGTAAATATATAAATGTGAACAGAGAATAAATATATGAAAAGTATAATATTTTAATATGGATAAACTTTTATTCACAGAACTCACAAGTTCAATGAGTAAGCAAAGAGACGCCTTTTGCTTTACTTACTTTTATATTTTTATGCTGTCATGCTGTCATACAGAACTGGTGTAATGTTAGAGATATAAAAAAATTTCAATAAACTAACTGTCATAGAACTGAAAGAATTGTCAAAAATTGAGTACTTTAATAATTACTATACAACACCACTTAAAGCGATATATTTTATTAATATGAAATAGGTTTTACTAATTGATCGTCCTTCGATGTTCAGGATATGTGTTTGGTCAAATCACCTTCCCTAAGATGATAATTAGATTCTTTAGAAGAAGGATTTGCGATGTTTGGTGAATGACGTTCGCTGAGGTTGTATTCGTACTATTTTAGTAACACAAAGGAAAGAATAAAATTCCTGTGAAGTAAGGCGTATTTAAGCAGGTTTCAGGCCAGGAACATTAGCGATGTTAATGTTTTAAGTTTGATGTGCATCAAACGTGACTTGTTCAATGGACGACGTTGATCATACGCAACAGCTCTTTAGAGTTTTTTACACCTATATAATATACGCTCGTGTTGAAAGAAAAACGAAGCATAAGAATTTACTGGTTGTCTCTTTCCGTTCTTCGCATCAAATCTCATAAAATTATTATTAATTGGCACAGTATACTAAACCCGTTTAAACCTTTGCGTCTGATCACTTCCAACTATCTCAAAAATTGCGTTATAAAGTTGAAATTTCGCATATACCCTCTCAGTTTATATTGAAGAGCCAAAATGTTAGAAATGTACGTGATCGGCATACAACCCTGCCCGCATTGATTTAAGCATGGTCTTTCATTCTAAAGGCGACACTTCTGTCACACATAAGAGAAGATTTTGTTAACAAAACTCAAAACTCTAATGCAAAAATGGGCATGGTCGATCTATAAACTTGCGAGTAAAAAACAGATAAGACGTATTGAAATCAAATTTGACGCCATTATATTTTAAACTTATTTAATAAGTAAACCGGACAACTGCCAGGCTGTGGTCAGCTCTCGTGAGTAACAAAAATTTGTCTCAAGTTGAACACAACCTTCTTATCCGTTATTTAATACACGCACCTTCCGGATTGCATGCAGACGGTCGTTAGCCCAGATTCTACGCGTCGTACATCTGAAAAAAGTTCTAGATATCTTACCTTTTCCAATAAAGTGCTTTTTTTTAAATCCAAAAATTTAGAGTTCCAACTTTTTTTCTTTTTTTTATTTAAATTAAACGGATTTATTGGACTTCTCTTAATATTTTTCAAGTTTGTATTTTCAATTTTTTCTTTTTTTTTTTTTGCATCATAACTGAAGTAATAATGATGTCTGTGTTAAACTTGTTAGTATTCAATACAGAGAAACTTTGTTTTACTAGAAAAAACAAACTATTATTTTACTTTTATAGTTTCCCAGGAAGTTTAAATTTTTTTTTAATTAATGAAAAATTAAAAGAAAAGAACAAAACTTTCCTAAAAGTATTATATATGTTTTTGTGTCTTTGTATTAAAACTAATAGTTATTAGCTTTGAAGTGGAACCTTTTTTTTTATAAACTATAAATAAATGATAACTTGTATCGGTTTGCGTTTTTTTTTTTCTTTTGTTTGCTTTTGATTTAAATATTGAACAACTATACTTCCAACATTTTTTTATTCATTAATTATGAATAATTTTTAAATTATTAAATATTTTATTCTAATTATTAATGACAACTAAACTGTTTTGGCATTTTTTTTGAGAATTTTTTTTTGTCATTTTTATAATAGTAATTAAAAAATATTATTCTTTGTTTTTTTGTTATAAATTTTCTCAGTTTAGTAATAAATTCGAGTTTTTCGTTATAATAGTTATAAAAATTTAAATAAATTAATTATATTATTTTCACGTTAATGTTATTGGAAATGCTGCTAAGATAAACTAAAAAGAAAAAGATAAAAAATTGAAAAAAAAAAATTTTAACTTAGTCTGAATATTTGACAGGAAATGGGATTAGAAGAAAGCAATACAGTTTTCGGAACAGATGCAGATAATTTACAATCGAGTTGTTTCTTTTGTGTTAAATGTTAGTAATAAATTTTCATTCATTTTGAAGCGAATCTTGGATACCCAACAGTCGATAATTTCTTTTATATCTAGAATAGGAGGTTGTATTAAATTTATGTTAAGTGTTCGTAACGCCTGAAAATATACATCAAAGACTCCATACACTATATATGTATATGCTTTCGTTCAATATGAGGAATTAAAATTTCGTATTGTGACTAAAAGCTCTCTTACGTCGACAGGGGATTTATTAAGTTGGTCTTCATCGATTTATTGATATCTACTGCATCGCTTCGTTGTTATGCTATGACTGTACTCTGTATTGTATTTCCGTGACTTTTCTCCAAAAAGCGATCCACGATGGATAGATAGATCTGCTACATATTGTAATGGAAATAACGGTCACATTTGATTTGTTTAATTGTTACCGTAAAACGGTATCAATAGAATTTCCTGATGATTGCGATGGAACAAAATTGTTTTTCAACAAATTTATTCGTAACTATTAACATACATTATGAGCTAAGTAATAAAAAAGTTGCATATTTTCCCTACTTTCTAAATCATTCTTTACCAGCATGGGAATTCATGTCCAGCTTTAGTAGTGTGTCCGCCTGTCAGTCCGCTTTTTGGTCGAGAGGGAGGGCGTAATAGTCCAAATAAACAAAATTTGTCCGGTTCATTCTATAAAAAAAGTTTTGAAGGAGCTTACCTCACAAAAGCAAGTCAAAATCTAACAACTTTTCCGCACCATAAGACTGTTGTTATTATTATTTTTGGAGTTTTTGCAAAACTTTTTGAATAACGCTAAACTATTGTCGAAAGATGATTATGAAATCTACGCATGGTCGGGTTTGTAGTTTCGACTAGCAAATTTATAAACAAGTTACTGTTTGTACTCTGCTTAAAGATGACATTAAATATTATTAAGCAGTTTTCTTTGCTTCCTTATAATAAAGTTTTAACCGTTAGGAAAAATAATAACGATGATAGCGGCAACCGATAATTTATTTCCAGTATTATTTATTAGTTTATGTTCGGCTTTCAAAGGGAAAGTAATGCCAAAATTTTTGTTTAATCGAAATTATAAGCACACGACATTATTGTTTAATTCATCTTTCAAATGTTATGTAGAGTATCGACAATAGTTTGTCCTGATTTTGGGGTTTTTCTTTTCTTTTGTTTTGTGTGTCTTTTATGTAAACGTTTAAATATCTCTGCCCTTTTAGGAGTTTTCTAAAAATCCTTCTTTTTTTTCGTTCTTGTATAAAAACATTTTTCTAGTCTACTAGTACTACTGCTAACTTAATGCCTTTTAGAAGGCAAGAAGAAGTTTAACTTATGTTGTTGTTGGTAGATAAAGTAGATTAATGAGAGGCATATCATGTGTATATTAAATTTTCACCCATTTTGAATGTTATACAAAGTAAAGTTTTCTTTTTTAAATATTTCTGTGGAATTGTGTGTTATATATGTATAATATTTGTTTATGTATATAATATTATTAATACTAATGTATGTCTGCGTGTTCAGCGGTACATTGTGTTTTCTTTTTCTTTTTCTTCTCTTTTATTTGTAGTTGTATAACAATATCATTTATCCTGTGGGTTGTTTTCTTTATACTCTTCTTGTCGTATTTATCAATATTTCTTAATTAACACCTATATTTTTATTATCATCTAAGTTACGCTAATAATAATCAATGAAATATATTTTTCTAGTAATCTAGTAGTATAGAAAACCTCACGATCGTAATGAAAGGGATAGCAAGGCGAAAAGACAGAAAAAGAAAGGGAAGAACAGAAAGAGAAAGAGAGAGAATGAAGAGGAGGTGGGAGCGGGAGTTAATTTCTTAAAGGCAACCTTATTAAATAGATATGTAGAACCCATCCAAATCAAGTCATATTAGTTTCCCTGATATTGGCTAGGGATCGAGTAAAAAAATAAATATTGAAAAATTTAGATAAACTCCTACTCGCTTGTTACGCTTTATAATATGTTTTCACAGTTTTTTGACATTTACGTTTCTGTTGTCTATGAGGTTAGGTTGTACTATTTTTTCTGGTTTTACCTATAATTTCTACCTACTATTTATCGCTTACGTTCACAGTTCACAGCTCATAACAACTATAAATGCCGTATCTTTTCAATTGCGATCGCGACCCAATGGACATCTTACGTTTCATAATTTTGATTTCCGCCCTTACAAAGCAGAAGTTTGGAAACGAAAAGAATAGGGAAATCGTTGATGGGTATCCGAGCTTATTTATTGCACGGTCATTTCATTTTGCTACCGATCTGGTATGAATTTCATGCTAAGACTTCCTCCTTCTGGCATGGAATGATAGTGGAATTAAAACTTTTTAAATTAGAGTAATATGTTCGAGGGATTTTTTTATACTTTAAGTTGAAAAATTTCTAGAACCGATCTAATTTTTCAATACGCTCAAAAGAATAAGTATATGATGAACAAATGCAATAAAACCTCTCTATGCAAGGAGGGTAGAGGAAATATGGAACAGAAAATATTTAGTAACAGATGGTTGATTAATGTTGAGATTATATGCCCGATATCTTGTGATTCGATTAAAGCCAGGCCAGAATAGAGAGCACTTTTGCAATATAAATTTCGCAATTTTTATTGAAAATAGACTTTCGTTTACTTTGTCTCTCGGCACATGTACCCATCTGTTTACTTCTTCTGAACTAAACAAGTAAAAACATTATAGTGGTGCTCGGCACGCCCTTAAATAGTCTACGTCCATATATCGACTTTTCAAAATCAGTCTTTGTATGAGAAGTGGTAGAAAAAGTGGTCCGATCTGAATCATTTTCAATAGCGTTCGTCATTGAGCAAAAACACGTCAAAGTAACAAATGTGACGTCTGCATGTGTGTAAGTTAAACACAGCAAAACACTATAGACGAATGGACTTACGGACATACAAGTTTGAATCGATTCAGGAAATGACTCTGAATTGATTGTTATAATAAAGGATGAGCCTATCTCAAATCGTTCTGGGTGTCATAAGTGTTGTAGGGTGTAAAAAGCAAAAATACATAGAAATACACATATTTTGCTTTCATGGTGAACTTCGTAAATATAGTAACCAGAAATATACATTTTCTCGAAATGACCGCGGAAATTTTATCAATTACTTAAGGCATGAGACTACGTACATGAGATGAAATCGGAAAATCGAGTGGGAATGGCTACAGTTTGAATTCCGAAATGAATGGCCAAACAAAATTTGAATACCGATAAATAATTACGTTCACTTTGTATGAAGTTTTGCAGAGGCAATGTCTGTCTGATTCAATTGCCAGCTTCTATGGAGTTCTCACTAGTGAAGTTTTTTTGTCTATATTTTCATCACTTATTTGAAAAATTCCTTGACTATTAACGTAATATTTGCAAATTGCACGTTACACGTTTTTAGAACTTAACGATATCTTGAAACTCTTACAATCACCTTGAAATACCTGAAGTGTGAGTGCATCATTTTGACTCACTGGTGGATGCACAATATTCACGTTTGTTTTAGCAAAGAGTGCTTCGAACGAGTTGGTAAGGTCTTGAATTTATGTTATTCTTGAATTTATATTATTCTTCTTTTGCAACACAATTTGTTCCACAATGTTTCTATTTCACAGTTATTATTAACTTATTTGTGACATGTAAATCTATGACAATGGGATTTGGTGTAAGCCATATCCCATGGTACGAATCTAGAAAGTTTCGTTTATAACTGAAGAGAAAATTTCTTAAGAAGACTTTTCCCATGCATAAAGCCGAGTCTTTCCTCATTCTATGACATTTTTCCTTTCACAGTACGTGTCTTATATAGCTTTAAGTAAATATTTTATTTGATTAATTGCAGCAATATGAAATGTTTGTAGTAAAACATGTGTTTCCTTTCAGGTTTCTTATTTAGGATTGAATGATTTTTGATTGTTGCGCAGGATTGGATTTTTTTATTAATTTCGAGCATCCACCATTAAAACGGAGACGAATTCAGCGATTAATGATATTAAATTGGGGGAATCTTAAGATAAGAAGCTGAAGGGAATACTTGATCTCAAAGTTATCGACGCTGCGTTGAAGATATGTAGACTAAGAATAGATACATTGTGTATAAGCCGCAAGCTAAACGCTAAGCTGAGATAAAAGGTTAGGGCAGCCCTCTGTTGCGTGAGAGATAATAACTAACATTCCGAATGCTCAAAGATCATTTTATAAAAAATTGAAAGACATCTTCGAGATAGTTAAAATATCGTCCTAGAGGAAGCCGATACACTTAAAATGGGCTAAAAATTATTCATCTTAGATGCTAAATTAAATTGACAACTTGCATAATAAGCTTTATTTAGGAATGAAGTCCTTACGATACGAAATAGAGATTTTCGAGATCGTCAAAGAATGGACTGGCCAAAATTGCTTGATTTCATTCGAATCTTGATGTTGTTTTCTGGGATTGTAAATATTGTAAGATAATGCCCAATCTGTTAACTGATAACACGATTTTAGCTTTTCTATGCTGCGTTTCATGGTGCGAGCTATATTCTTGCTCGCTACAAAAGGTAAGCAGTATGTAATGAAATTGTCTTTCGGTGTACTATGTTACGAAATATCCAATAAAATTGCTCTAAAAATCATATGTTTTTGGCCGATATGATATTCAGAGTTGATTTAATCATGTCGAGCTGTTGGGTTAAAGATCGGAATTTCATCGAAAACTGAATTAAATTGTAATCATTTTTAGTCAGTGATCATAGATGAACACAACTACCATTTAAATGAGCAGAAAACTGTAACTTACTATTAATAGAAAATCTTTATCTTAAAGACAGTAAAAAATACCTCTCAAACGAAAAAAAAAAAAAAAAAAAAAAAAAAAACAGTCACCGTCAGCCAAATTAAGCCTAGCCATAAATTTCATCTAGTATTCTATGAGAATATTAAATGAATCCGTACCAAGAATACTAAAACAAAATCATTAAAGTTAATATATTTATAGTAGCGATTAAGTATGAAGAAGTCTTATAAGGAATTTCTTCTATATATTTTGCTTGAGTGGATGGGAGTTTCAATAATTTTCAATAACATGTTTGTTTTTAGATTTTATTAAAAAATCTGAACTATTTATACATATCATATACATGTATAATTCAACTCTGGCTTATTGATTGTGTTGCTTTGCAAGGCACAATTTAAATTGTCTTGAATTGTAAGAACGCAAGTTGGTAAGGAATGAAAATGCGCTCTGAAGCGAACACAATGTGTTTATTTGTTGTTTAAAAACTATTACTTTAATTACAAAAAGATTCTACATAAATGATTTAGTTTAATATTTTAATTTAATTTTAATTGCTTTTCAATGTGTTAACGTTAAGTTTTAGTTATTTATTTGGTTGCGATTTTCTTCATATTTCTCTCTCATATAATATTATAAAGAAAGGAAAGAAAACAAATTTATTATATTTAAAAACATTTCCAGTAAAAAAGAAAAACAAAAAAAACTTTTAGAAATAATTTATGAGCTAAGTTTAAAAAAATTAATTGAATAAACATAATGGTTAAAAAGAAGACTCGAGAAGCTCCTCATTATTTAATAAACGAGTCCGCTGTGAACACATGTAAAAATTTTATCCAATTTAAGGTAACTGAGAAAGACTTGATTTAAAGGTCATACACAGAATCATTTGTGAAAGCGGTAGAACAATAGAAATCTATCAAATATTAATAAAGGCAGTATCGGCCGCAAAGAGATTATCTTAAATAGCATATGAAAATATTTTTTTTAAAGGTCTTCGGTTTGCTTGTTTGATATTTGTTACATATTAACTATTAAATTAAAAAAAATATGTATATAAATAGAAAAATAATAATGACAATAATACAATGATACAAATTTTGTTACTTAATTACTACAAATAAAATTAAAAATTTTTATTTAATACAAAGTTCCGCTGTTGGTCGTTGAAGTAAATTATTAATATAATCAATATTTTATTAGTTAATAATTTTGAAGCAAATGTTTTTTGATAATTGACATTAGAAATCCATTGGAAAACCAAAGTCCATTGATTACTTGAAAGTGTGTGTCCACTCACGTCACACACGTAGATCTCAACTTTGTTCATTTTGAAAAAGCATGTTCGAAGCAAACATCCATTTATCGCCACCGTCTATGTAAAACCGATAGTTTCTTTAAGAAAATTTAAATGTTACTAAAAATATTATAGAATAGTATTAGACTTCAATGTTTAGTATATTATAATAACAACTTATTGTAATTATACAGTTACGGATGAACTTATTATTAGGTTTTGCAACTTATATACATTATGGTTATGTTCAATTGCAAAATCGCATTATTTTATTTTGAAATGTATTAATATTAGTTTTATATCGCAAACCGTCGTTGAGGAAGAGATGGAGCTGGTAGTATTGAGCGAACTATACCGAAGGGCAGGGCAGGGTACTTCGGTAACCAATGCGTCCACAAAAGCAGCAACTTGGACGCCCACACCTATAGCAGTTTTGGATGTGGACTGCCAGCACAGTTGACTCGTTAGGGCGAAAGTGAAAAATTTGTAGCTACGATCCTTCAAGCTGGGCACAATACGAATTCCAGCACATGGTAGGTGAACTCATGGTAGACGCCCGAGAGAAACCGTCAGTAATAATTGCGGGGGATTTCAATGCCTAGGCCTTCGACTGGGACAGTAGGGCCTGCAATGCGAGAGAACGCAGCTTGTTGGAGGCATTCACTGTGCTGAAAGTATCTCTTCTGAATGATGGGCGGAGGGATACGTTTCGTAAGGCAGGAAGTTGGTCGAAAGCATATCTCACTTTTGTTAGTGACAGCCTAGTGGCGAGGTGCAAGTGGTCGTTGAGTGAAGAGTATACAAACATCGATAACCAGGCCATCTTCCCCGACATAGAAACCAGACAAACCGGAGGGAATAGATGGCCCAAAACTACCCGGCCGAAGTCGAGTGACACGTTCTTCGATAAGGATGCCTTTAACATCATTATGGACTCCTACGAAAGGGGTGATGGCATGGCTGGCCAACTCCAGAGAAACGTGACAAAGCTGCTTGCCTCGAAGAAGAAATACAGCTAGAAAAGGATCTCCGTGCTATTGGTGGACCGACGAGATAGCGTCCCTGAGAGCGAACTGCTTGAAAGCCAGACGGCAAACTTTAATGAACTGCTTACACTCTACAGAGACTTGCGCAGTGACTTAGAGAAAGTCATAAGGGCTAGCAAAAGGAGAAGGTTCGATGGAATATGCCAGGATGTCGACATCAATCCGTGGGGAACGGCATATAAAGTCGTCCTGAAAAAGGTCAAAGGACAGAGGACGCCGTAAGTCCCATGTCCGCTCAGGCTCCGGCCATTAGTAGCAACACTCGTTTCGCAGAGGCCGCCCTACGTGTTGGTAGACTTCCACGGCGGAGAAGATGAAGTAATTACTAACGACGAGCTTTTGACCGCCTGCAAAAGGATTTGGGGACAAAAAACTCCTAGCTCGGACAGAGTTCCAAACAAGGCCTTAAAGGCAGCGATACGAAAGAGGCCGGACGTCTTCATGACGATGCTGCAACGTGTCTGGAAGAAAGTATAATCCTAGATGAATGGAAGGTCCAAAGGTTGGTTCTCATGCCGAAGGCTAATAAGCCAGCGAACGGGCCATCGTCATGCCGACCCATCTGCCTTTTAGATACAATGGGCAAGGTATTGGAGAGGATCGTATACCAACGCCTGCTAGTCGTCGTCGTGGGCGAAGAAAGGCGTGCTCTCTCGGATAACCAGTACGGATTCAGAAGAGCACGGTCTACGATAGATGCCATAAATCATGTTGTGGCGCTTGCTTCAGACGCTATTGCCGGAGTCCGATGGAGGGGCGGAGATAAAAAGTACTGCGCCGTCTTTACACTACGCGTGAAAAACGCCTACAACTCGGCGGACTGGGTAAGTATTCGTAAAGCCCTCATAAGAATGCAGGTTCCAAGGTATATACTTCAGCTAATAACAAGCTGCCTTTGGAAAGGCACGTTAGTGTATGATAACGGAAATGGAAAGCAACGGCGGGTGTCATAGAAAGACCAGTTCTTGGTCCTCTCTTGTGGAACATAATGCCCAACGGTGTTTTTGAGCTTAACCTACCTACAGGAGCAACGATTGTCTTGGCTTTGCCGACAATATGGCAATCGTAGTGGTTGCAAAATGCGTTACGTAGGTGGAAACGAGGGCTAACGAGGCTATCGTTAAAGTGAAGGCGTGGCTAGGAGAGATGGGGCTAGAGGTAACAGAGGATCAAACTGAGGCGGTGCTAATAATCAGCCGGAAGTGCGTGGAAACATGCTGTACACGAGTGGGGCAAAAAACGGTGCAGTCATCTTCTGCCCTGAAATATCTTCGAGTTATGCTCGACCATCGACTCCACTTTAAGCACCACGTTGAGTACGCGGCTGAGAAAGCTGCCGGCATCCAGGCGTCGTTAGCAAGGATTATGTCAAATATTGGAGGCCCGAAAGTCACCAATCGAAAAGTAACAGCCGCGGTGATAACTTCGGACATGATGCACGGAAGCCAAGTCTGGGCCGGTGCACACAGAGTGAAGGCAGTGTACCGAAAGTTGGGGCAATATATCGTCTTAGTACGCTTAGGCAGATATGTGGATTCCGGACAGTGTCGGAGAATGCTGCCCTTGTGATTACTAGCGTCATGCTAATCGACATCTTGGCGGACGAAATGAGGCCCATCCATGAAAAGAGCCGCATCGACGCCCCTTCCCCAGAGGCCATAATAAAAGAAGAGCGGCTTGCGCCGATGAGGACTTCGCAATCGCGTTGGGAAAGAACAACGAAAGGAAGACGGACGTTCATTCTTATCTCAAATATAATGCAATGGAGGCCACACGATGAGGTAAATTACTACCTCAGCCAGTTCCTGACTGACCATGGCTGTTTCCGAAAGTAACTGTTCAGGTACGACAAGTTACCAAATTGCCCGACATGCTCGGAAACGAACGAAGATGCATAGCATAGCATCTTTCGCTGCAGAAGGTACAAGAACCCCAGACGCCAAATAGAGCAGAGTGAAATATTGGAGGGGTTAACTGCCAGCAAAGAGGTCTGGAGCACCGTAGGCGACTTTGTAAGCGGAGTGCTCAAAGAACTACGGCGGCTTGAAAGACAGCGGGTGGAGAGCAGAGGGAGTGGAAGCCGACAGAGTATTACACTGAGGTCCCACCATCGTAAGCGTGCTAAGGACAATCAACCTCCACGAAGTAATATCTAACGGTGGTCCCGCTGGGAAAGCGTGTGAGGGTAGGTTTTCAGTATGTAGGCACCATGGATGGCGAATCATGCATGCTGCTACTAAGAACCGGTAGTATCTTTTGAAGATTTTCTACGTCTAGCTCGCAAAGCAAAAAAAAAAAAAAACACACACACACACGCACACGAGGGGGGCTGAAAGTAGGTCGCATTCTTTTCAAAATTTTATTAAAATTTTTCTTAAATAGTTTTAAGTTGTTGTTTCCTTTTTCGCTTGAGAACCGTCCGCGAAAAAGAAAATAAAGAAATGTTTGAAAAATATATTTATAGTGTGCTTAGATAGTTTTAAGAACTTAAACCACTTGATTCTGATAATGTGTATGTTTCAGTTAACTCAGAGCCTCCCAACAGTAAATCTCCGGTTGAGTGAGCTGATACTGCAGGTTTATGTGTTGGCGAGTGGTTGGGAGTGGATGCCGAGCTTTTCGGTTTCCTAAACCAATTTCCCAATCTGCGGCGACCTAAGGAACCGGTATTGCTTTCTGATGAAACCTTATTGTCATTCCTGCTGTTATTGCTGCTGTGGATGTTGTTGTTGTTGCTGTTGCTGTTATTAGTCATATTCGAGTTTGATTTTTTTGGTAAAGTATCGGAATATTTAAAAGATTTTGCTGGCGATTCTGGTACAGAAGAATCACCGCTTAATGAATTTGCCGGATTATTACTTTCATATAAAAATTCTCTCATTCTGTGGCCAGCACCGCCAATGCTATGACTGCTTACTGATGAGCCCAAGCCTTGTTGTTCATGCTCTGTGGTCTCATAGTCCGACTGATCGGAGTAATCTCGCTCTTCGAAAGCATATTCGAACCCGGCCATTTCAGATACATACAAAGGCTTACCACCGAATTGCCTCTCCAAAGCCAAAGTGCTGAGAAATCGATGTTTTCTATTAGCTGAACGAAAACTGAAATCGAACCATTTATCCCGCGCCTCACAATAAATTCTTAAAGAATTTTTAATAGTATGGCCGAACATTTTGCCATCACGTACATTTATCACACGACAACGATCCAAAAATATTCGGCCTTTGTATATGAATTGCGATCTTTTTAGAATGTCGCGCTTACAATAAATTAATTGATTATCAAATAAAAACAAAGTACTACTGCTATTCCATAGATTTTGTTTCTGACGCGTAGCATCAATTTGCAGAAAGAAACGTGTACTATATAGATGCAAAGGTGGACCTTTGAAATTTTGAAAACTGGCCTGATGACGAGCGATAGTTTCGCTGTGACGTTTACCCTCATTAACAGCCTCCGTAATGCTTTTCATTGCTTCCAAAGCCATATCTAGCGTTTCACGCGTATCAGGTATATACAATTGACTAACGTCCACCAATTGTTCGTTTTCGGCCAATTGATAGTTGGATACTTCGCTTACTTTACAAGCGGTTTTGAGGATTTCGGCTAAATGTAAAGGATAGCGACAAATCCGTTGCACAGGAGCAAGTAAATGAGCGGACAAAGGTAATTCAGCTAAATTCTCCGATTCACGACAACTAAACAAAAAAGGGGAAAAAGAAAAAAAGGATTTGTTTTTTTTTTTTACATCTACCAGAAAATGTTACAAGAAACTTACTTATCTAATATGGTACGAGCGTCTTTGACCCGCTCGTAAGATTCTAATTCGATTAAGGCTCGCGGATACTCATTACAATAGGAAGAATAGCAAAGGAAACCTTTGTGCTAAAAATTAATAAAAAAATAAAAAATCGGTTTATAGGAATTGGGTAAATTTTTACCATTTTTAAGAAGACCTTTGCCACTTGATTCTGCTCTATACCTTTGCGTAACGCTTCCAAGAATTTACGTTGAAATTTATAAATGGTAGTAATATTCGAAAATATTAAACGTATACTGTTTGGTGAGAAGATGTCAATGCGTTTGCTCATGGTGAGTAAATAGCTGAACATATTAAATTAAAAAAAAAAAAATGAATTTAATCTAATTTCGACTAAAACAAAAAAAATAAAAAATACATACCCTTCGCATATAGACGCCAATAATTTAACATAGTTGACTTCAGTATCTAATAATTCTTTAATTGCACTGCGTCGTAATATATCTATTCCGCTAATTACGACATTACGACTCTGAGAGGTGTATAATGTAGTCTGCTGTGCTGTGGAGATGTTAGTGTCTGTTTGCGAACAATCTAATTCGTCTAAATTAGTTCTGCTGCTATTACAATCAGCTATCTCGGTTGCTGTATTTGAGGCGGTATCCGTGTGGTTTAGTGTTGATGATTCAATTACTATGGTTGTGACATTATTATGCTGGTGATCAATCACGGGCTTATCAATAGTATTATCCTCTAAGCTGGTGTTACTCGGCGTTAAAGTGAAACTAGTTGATAAACTTAGATTTGATGGCTGCTGTTGTGTTAAACGTTCATGGTCTCGCTGCTGCTTTTGCTGTAAATGTTGGCGTTGATGTTGCAACTGCTGCATTGTTATGTGTTCTAAGTAAAAAGCGTCTGTGTCGGGTGACTGTATAACGCGTACAAATTCTTTGGGAAACCATCCCATTTCAGGATCTAGAATTTCCTCTACCAAGCTTACACCTTCTTTTTTAATGAGGCCAAACCACCAGGGACCAACTTCTTTACGTAATATTTCAATTAGCGTACCCTTTTCTAACCCCAACTCCTGCGGACCAGCAGCAGTGAAATTATACAAAACTTCCGCATAAACAGGATAATAATTAGACGCTGAGGGAATAAACGTAAAAGTTTGAAACGGAAATAAGAAATGATATAAGAAAGTGGAATGTTTTTTTCATCTCATGAATTTTAATAGTGTTGGATGGAAGCCAGAAGAAAATGTAACAAGAAACTTATTTTTATGTTGTATCCTGCAGTTACAATAACATATTTCAAATTATATTTACTTTTATACGAATCACTTTAAGAGTGGGAGTGTACTAACTTTGTCAATCCGCTTATAACACCTATATTCATTCCACAGTTTTGATTAGCATAAGATTCTGTCGGAGGTCTAGACGGAATCGAAAAGCCGCACAAATGATATGTTCCAAAATGGTGTCAAGCAATTCAAACTTCAAAAGATTGCCAAGCTTTTCATAAATAACAAAACCCAATTTGAAACTAAAAGCCTGCACCGAATTTTAATTTGAAGTTTACGGCAAATACTTATTAGGAATATAAATAGTCTTTACTGGTTCAATAAAATACTTTCAAGAATTTATAGAGATTCTCAAATTGTAACTAATATTACACTGTAATGATTAATACTCAGGCAATCCGACATCAAGATAGTAACTTTAGAATTTAGACTACTCTCTTGACTCTATTGAGATGTAATGCATCGAAGGAACTAACACTCCTTTGGCCTGCGAATGTATTAAATTAAATGCCGTTTGCGGGTGTCGTTACTTTTCTGATGAATCATCAATTTTCAAAATGAAAATATTTCTTTGCATTAAAGCCGTATTTCCTTAAAAAGAACACTTTTGTGCAATATACGCGGTTCTTTTGTAACTGTGCGCTTTTAAGGCACATCATGGTAGTATCAATTATAAAATCATGTCTAGGAATTAAGTTTAAAGCTTTAATTGCAAAAAAATATTTATTTCATGCTACACGCAATATATGTGGCCTTTATCGACAGAATTGGTTCAATGGTTTTAAATATTTCTGTGGGCGTGACTTAGGTGCGTTTTAATTTTTTTTTTGTTTCAAATTGCTCTATTTGTTAATTTATTCAGCACGCTACAAGTATGTGTATAACACGGCTCTATGCCTACGCGTGGAAAATCGAGTTACTGTTTAATTTCTTTCGAATAACTTAATATGGTGCACATAAATAGCTTAGCAAGAGACGATTTGCAAATTGTGATTGGTGTTTCGTTTACTTACCATCATCGTGCGATGTTACGCTATCACTGTCGCTATCAGCTTCCAAATCGTTGCGATTCATGCCGAACGATTCTAAGCCACTTGGTTGGCTTAAGGAACGAGTGGGCAAAGATTCAGGAGCTTCTCGTTCATTGTGCAAATCAAAGCGTCTTAAAAACTTTGCTTTATTCCCTGCACTAGTCGGCGATTTTTGGTCGATTAATGAAGAAACTTTAGCTGAACTAGTCCGACGTACGGAACGCACCTTTAAGGAACTCTGAAACAGCAGCAAAAAAGAGACAGAGAGAGATCAAAAAAATTAAAACAAATTATACAAACTGCAACGAAATGAAATAGTACAGCTTTCAACATACCATTTCACTGTCTTGAATTTTGCCAACATCAGCGTTAACATTGCTGACCAAAACGCGAGAAAATTGTTCATCATTTTCCAGCTCGATTTGTATACCAGAATCTCCGCTATTGCATTTATCGCGACGGTTGTGTTTAGTTTTACGTCGCTCCTTAGAAGAACGCCATATTAATGGGCCAAAACGATACCTGGTCGATGCATTATCGGTGCTATCACTTGTAATATCTGTTTCAGACGTGATTAATTGACCGTTTGTTGCTGCTGTTGTTGTTGTGTGAATGGAGTCCAAATTATGGGAATTTTGTAAAGAACTGTTTTGGCATGATGGTTGTGTTGATGGTTGCCTATTGAAATTAGTTAAGGTGCGCTTAAATTTCTGAAGCACTCCTACATGTTGGTTAGATGGCATTTGATTGATACTAGAGGTCGTGTTGTTAGTTAAATTAGTGTCACTGTTGGTGTTGCTATCCAATTGACTAGAATTAATAGGACCGCATATTTTGGAATTTGAGGAGACTTCTTGCTCTAATGCGCTAGCGGTTAATGAAGGACTCGAAACGGCACGAAACTGTTGGAAAAGAACAAAAGAAATAATAAAGAAATAATAAGAAATAAATAATGCAATATGTTAATCAATATGGATTACAACATTATCATAAATATAACGGAAGCATTCAGATGTAAACAAATTCTTCGTATAACAAACAAAAAAAAAAAAAAAAAAAAAAAAACAAACAATCCATACGAGAGAAAGGTGAATCCTTTATAATATTAATCTTTTTCTTACTATTTTATTAATTCATCTTTATCATCATCATTACCATTTTTTGTAACAGGCAGCATGGTATTGATGATATTGATCAAAATGCAAAGATTGCTCTTTTTAATGCGGGAAACTATTGCAAACGCAGCAACTATTGCGATTATAATGTAAAGAAAAAAGTTTTAAATAAATTTGTACAAATTCTGCAAAAGAATTCCTGTCGAGGTCGGTTTCAATAAAAGAATGAACTTAAAAAAAGAGATTTATATACTCCTGCTACCCTTAGGATCTATGTTTTATGTGATAATGCTATCGATGGCTGATGGATGCAAAACCATGGCTGATGGATGCAAAGCAAAGTTAAACTATTACAAAGTAAGAGATTTCCTATTACACGTTGTCTTTGTTTCGCACGCGCTTGTATATGCATATATATATGTATATATATATATATATGTGTGTTTGGGTATGTATTTTTATGTATGCATGCAAACATATGTCTCTCTCTCTGAATACATATTTTGCCTTAGGAGTTGTACAATGAAATTTATTTAAAAAATTTTCAGAAAGCTTTACTGTCATTATCAAAAGCCATTGATATCAAGTTTTTACGAGAGTTAACAAGAGCAAATGGTTTTTTGTTTATAAAGAATTGTATGAAAAACAGTAAAAACAAACAAGAAGAACGTGGAAAATCGATTATATTTATTATCCATATAAGCGATGATTTTATTTTTACAAAGAAAATTAAAGGAAAATATTCCTAACTTCCGTTTTACGTAGACTAAATCAAAAGAATAGACTTCAAATGCAAAAAAAAAATTTATGTTATCTTCTAATCTTTTGAACGTCCTGCAAGAAAATACTTATCAACGCTGTCTTGCGAAATGAGAGCATTGAAGACAACAATGCAAAATTTACGCAAGTCTTGACGGGAATTCGAATTGATCACCTACGTTAGTGGCGTGTAAGGTGCATTTGGTGCAAGGGCTGGCTGGATACAACTTGCATCTGGATTTACTGTAAAATCGCAAGACCATCACGGTAAGGGGTTCATGTTGAGGAGCATAACAATAACAAAAAAATAAAATATAGTTTAACATCTCCATTATTTGGCAAAAACAGAGCGCGCCGTGCGATTATTGAAACAAAATTTTGATAAAAAATGGGACTCAGTTAATGTCGGATGTCAACGTACTCTTTGAAAGTAGACGAGGGCAGGCGGAAAAGTCAATAATACTTTATTATTATTATTATTATTATTTTAATTTTAGACTAATGAATTGAATTCTTAGACTAAAAAAAAAAGACATTGAGCACTAGCAACACAGGCTATCGGCTCTAATTTAAATAAATGGATATTAGATAATAAGCTTAGTAGTATTAATAAAGTAATATATTGAATTGATATTCTGTTCTGAAGCTGATTGTAGAATGTTCAAAGGGTTAATCGTTCCAAATGCAATACTTCTAGCCAAGGAAAAGTTGAGGCAGTCGCACAGAATGTGCTTTATAGTAAGAGTTTGTCCACAACTGCAGATTGGGGAAGAAGACTTCTTTAGGATCCATTGGTGAGTTGCAATTGTATGACCAAGGCGAATTCTCGAGAATGTTTGGATCTTGGTTTTCTCAACATTTGTTGGATATAGAGGTGGAGTTAATTGAGGGTTAATATAGTATACTTTATAATTCGAAATTTAGAGCAAATTGATGGCAAGGGATATATCCGAAAAATGATTCCATGAAAACGATGCAATAATGGCAGCGAGCGTTAGCAGGGTAAAAGTGGAAACGAAATTCACTACGTATTATTTACTGCTACGTACTATTACATGTTACTACTACCATTACTAGCTTTGTTTTACATATTCCTTAAAATATGTCTTTTATTTTGTTTCTCCTTTAAAAAGCAATATTTTTTTGTGTAAAATATCAAGGCACTTTTCTTTTTTTGAATTATAAATAGAGATTGCGTTGAATTACCGAGTTTGGATTTGTGATTTACTTGTTTATTTTTTATAAAGTTTGCATATCTTTTGCAACCTATAAAAAGTATATATGTATCGAAAACTTAGCACAACATTCGAGTCTAATGCAACATTGATTTATTACATTCATCTTTGGTTTGCTGAAATTCTTAAAATCTTCGAAAAATTTCAAGTTTCACATCATTTAGGGCGAATAGTCAGGTCAACAAATATGTTTAATTTGTGGGATTTATTTGTAGTATATTTAAAAAGACAACTTAAGGAGAAGGATTGTCACTCAACGAACTTCACTCTCATTTTTCCAACTGTTGGGCATGTTGCACGGGTGACACCATTAAATTTCTCTAATTGATCTGATCGTGGCGATATCCCTGCTCCAAAATCTTGTGAAAATTAAAATTAATAACAAAATTTTCAAGTACTCTTTGAAAGTTTATATCACACTTTGCACATATGCGCGTCCTAGGGGCATTACAGTGTTAAAAAATGTACAATATTGTACAATAGAAAAAACTAACGCAATATAAACAAAACTAAAAATGTTGATATGTGTCTGTTTACAAGTTTGAAAGTTGATGCAAAGCTTAAATTTTGGCTGACATGAGCTTATAAGACAAACTATTAACCTTAAACGACAAACGAAGATTTAAAGGGCATATCCCGTCTATGCATATTTGGTTAGTAAAATTTCGAATGATGATATCTGCAAGCTTTCGGCCAAAACGTGTGTCAATAAATTGTGTATTGAAGCGTCGCGCATTATTAATATTACAATGAAATATTTATCGGGCTTTGGTATAACTCTATTTGAAGTTGAAGACATGATGACGGAATGAAAAAAAAGACTTAATTCGAGTACAAGCGACATTTTATTTATTAAAATGACTTTGGTCTTCAAGATGTTGCCAAGTCTGATTGGGCATTACCACGAAGCGGATTATAAATCAATTGTTTTGATTGCGGGTTTTCGTACGTGAGAGAATGGAATTTTTTCAAAACTTACTCCAAAATTTCAATGCAATTAATTTTACTTTACCATTTGCCGCGTTATGGGACATTCCTTCTTTTTGTTGCATTCATTTTCCGGATAATAAAACCAATTTTTCGTTTTACTAAAACTTATATCTATAATTGATTTGGCATCGAAATCCCAAGATTTTATTAAAGTATATGTATCCATTAAAGTGGGCATAATTAGTTTTTTCATTGCGATAAACGGAACTGATTATTACCAAAAGAGAGTTTAAATAAACACAATTGCAGTAATAACTAACAAAAACAAAAAAAGGGTACGATTTTAGATCTTTTTCTTTTATTTTTTTTTGCGAAAATTTTGTTTTACTGCCACATAACCAATTATAGGTGCAGGTGTCAACGAAAGCAAAGATAAATATTAACTGATTGCATGAATATTGCAAAAACGCTGATTACTTGAGTTATTTAACCATATATATATATTATAACAACATATATGAGTATAATACAAATCGAATGCGTATAGACGAATGTGTATATATGCATATGTGTATATATGTATGTATTTATGTATGCATACAGGTATGTGTACAGGTAATTGAAATGAAATGTACTTAAGAGCTACTAAGAGCACAAAGGCCATTATCATTCTACATTTCGATAGACGTTCTTGTTGTTATTGTTAGTCTTATTGACATTTTTCATAAGAACGTACACAAACAATCTATACAAGATGTTCGATTGTATCAGCAAAAATGATTTCATTTATAACGATAATTAAATTCTAAAGCAAAGCTTAGATCTATGGTCATATGTTTGCTTGCATTAAAACCACTGGTTACGATACTGTATCGGTCGTAACAAAATGTCGATTATCGCATATTTATAAGTATCGAAATGAATGCAAATGTGAATGTTTATGAATACTAACAGAAAAATTGAAGTTGTTGGTGTTTGGTATGAAAAGAATTCATGTGGTTTTTGCTCGATTGTTACGTAAAAAAAAGCTGACAAAAGAGATTGCTGAGCAACACAATGAAGCTAATAGCAAATGCCAAATAAACTATTAACAGAAGTAACAGCTATACGAACAAATGCTGCTTATATATTTTAAGACATTTATTCATTTACTCCACTTACCTAACAAATAATTGATGTTAGTTATTAACATTTTCGGGGAGAAGTTTAAAAAAAAAGGAGGCGACCAATAAGCCGTCTTATGTGATGATGTGATAATTGCATGCTTTACATTTTTCTAAAAATCAACTGGCAGAATTTTTACGTAGAATTCTCAAATAATTCATAAATATAATATATACGTGGACGACATTTCAATTTGATATCTATCATCTTTGTCAAAGATTGTCATTTATTCAAATTTCGGATTTCTTCTTGTGAGTTCTAATCATTGGCAGATTATGTCCATTTTCGAACTCGGGTTATGCAACTCTGGACAAAAGTAAAATGAAGGAAAATTTCTTTGGCTATTAAATTATCAACATAAAACGATTTTTAAACGATAATTAAACCAGAATAAGGTTAATATAACAAATAGAATGAAAATTGTAGTATATCGTCATAGCCTAGTAGTGATTAAAAAAATATTACATTTCTTGGAAATAAATGTTGAACTAAACATATATTGTATGGTTAACAATATATGCATCTCCATTAACATTTCTTTGCAAAACTATGTTATATTCTATCGTTAAAAGGTTAAACAGATTTTTACCTTTGTAAGAGTTTATAATTATTAATTTTATTATTTGATTAGATTTATGATTGATTCCTGTTTTCTCTTATTTGAAGCGCTACCTTAACTTCCATTTGCTAATTAATGCT